TGTTCTGAAAGAACTCAGACAAAAGTTTAGATCTCAGATGCATGTGAGGATTTGTTCTTACAAATTATGCAGCTGCAAGTTTTACTGGCCATTTTGCTGTATGTTCATCCAGCTTTTTCCTCTTTCTTTGAAGAATCTCAACATTCCTTTTGTCCTAACTACTGTACATGAGTTCATCGTTTGTAAACTACTCTGTCTCGTGTCTATTTTTCCAAAGAAATTTAAATATTCAGTGGAACACAAGCACCAGGGAGCCTTGCCTGGTCTTCTCCCATGATTACACCAGGTGTGTCACTCATGGAGAGGGGACATTCAGCCTTTCTTGAAGCAGGTGCAGGCTGCACAGGAACAAATCCCTTCCAGTACCTGAAGGGACAAAGATGGAGAGAATTTTTTACAAATGCAGTGCCAGAACAAGGGGAAATGACTTCACACTGACAGAGAGCAGATTTAGATTGGCTATTAGGAAGAAATTGTTCCTTTTGAGAGTGGTGTGGCCATGGCACAGCTGCCCAGAGAAGCTGTGGCTGCTCCCATGCCCTTTCCTGAAGGATCTTTTGTCCCTTTTCAGTTTGTGAATGGCCTGGTTGTTCCTACAGCCACCAGAGCCATTAACAGGACTGTCTCCCCACTGTGCCCTGTTAGTTCTGCCAGCCTCCGTGAGTCACAGCAACACCTCCCACGAGCTCCAGCAGCACCTGTGACAGTCACACTCTGTCAGACTCAACACTGCCTCGTGCCAGCCTCAACATGCCTTTGCCATAGGCAAACCTGACCCAGTGCTGCTGTTGTTTCAATAAAGCCTGTGTTTTTCTGATGGCACGCTGCTCCTGGTCTACATTCCCAGTTCACAGAGCAAAAGTCTGTGCTCACAGAGCCTGTGTGGGGGCAGGAACACAGGAAAGGCAATGCCACAGAAAGATTGCTCGAATACTGCTGAACACACCAAGGCTGCTCTAATTAAGTGGGAGGTGAAAGAGTCAATCTAGGCTTTGCCATGGCAGCCAAAGGGTGCACTTTATGTATTTGCCAAAAACAGTAAGTCACAGCCCTGACACAGATGGGAGACACTTGGTGTGGTGCCACTGCCTTCACGGGGGTCAGAACTGAGCTCAGGGCTCAGTTTAGACATTTTGGACAGCACGGTTCAAGTGCAGGATGCTGATCTCTGCCAAGAACTTAAAACTGAATCCAGCCACCACAGAATAAAGTAGTTCCTTAGGAAAGTTTGTTAGACTTGTCAGTATTGACACTGGATTTCAGATGTTTATTTGCTTAATTACTCTTTTGATAAACCCCTTATTAAGCAAGTCTGCTCTCCATCTGGTGCTGATCTGACTTAAAATACAGCAAGATTGGCAACTCATTAATTTATGGACAGGATAAGTATAAAATTTGCATAAATCTGTTAATACTAGAAAGTACAAAACTTGTACTTTCTTGAAAAAGCAAGCTGTGAACCTTTCCTCTTAGGACAGAAACTCTTTGTGAGATGCAGAAATATCTCACATGTTTCTCGTGACAGAATATCGAGTAGTGATATTTGGGTTTTTCAGATTCCTTTCTCATTAATTCTTGTTCCAAATATAGAACTATTCTTGTCTTGAAATTGGTGACTTTGTGTTCGAGGCAAAATTCCTGCTCTTTAATGATGTGGTTTTATTTTTAAGGCTTTAATCTTACACAGTAATTTTAAGTGCTTTTCAGTGATGCTCTGAGCGAGGAACTACCATCCTTCTTTTTTGTTTTCTGTGCCAGATGACATTTTTATCCAATGGTAGCCATCCATTTGCTGTGAAAATTGAGTTCCTGGAATGCAGTGTACAGATATGAAGCAGTTTTGATCATTGCTCTCTGGAAATTATAGTGATTATATACATTTTAGTAGTTAGCTTACCCTCTGAATTGCAACTCCTTCTTCTGAATCACCAGAAGGAAAGAACACTCTTTTTGTTGTTGTTGTTGTTTTTTTTTCCTGGAATATTAAAAATCTTTTTTAAAATGAACCACCCTGCTCTAGGATGTAGGAATTACCACTGTGAGAGGTGGCAAGGAGCTCATCTCCCATATGATTGAGGAAACCTTTGCCAGAGAGCTCTGTATTGAATCAGGAATGTTTCCATGAAAAATGTATCTTCCAAGCACCTAACATCCTCCAGAAAAAAACAGTTAATGGAGGAACTCCCTTGATTTGCCCTATTCCATTTGACAAAAGTGTCCCTGCGTCTTCCTTTCCTTGTGTTTGGAGAAAACTTGGAGAAAGTGCGGAGACACCAACTCCATGTGAATGGAAAGATGCTCTTTGCAAGTCATTTCCTGACTGTTCTGAGTGATGCCTTTCACAGAATCCTTAGGGCTGCAAGGGACTTCTGGTGCTCATCCAGTTCCACCCCCTTGCCCAGGCAGGGTCACCCAGAGCAGGTGACACAGGAACACATCCAGGTGGGTTTGGAGTGTCTCCAGAGGGAACTCCACACCCTCCCTGGGCAGCTGTTGCAGCGCTCTGCACCCTCAGTGGAAAGAAATTCTTCCTCGTGCTGAGGTGGGAGGTGGAACTTCTTGTTTTAGTTTATGGCCATTGCTCCCTGTCCTGTCATTGAGCACCACTAAAGAGAGCCTGGCACTGTCTTCTTGACACCCTCTTTGAGATATTTTTATGTCCTTTCCTGACCTTCTGTGCATCTCAGGTGATTTGAGAGCTGAGAAGTGGGATATGGAAAGGGTTCCTCTGGATTCATAGAGTCTGCTTAGAACAGCTGCAGACAAAGACAGGTTCAGGACAGGAGAGTGCAGCTCAAACCTTACTCTAAAGGACTGCTGACAGGTGTTTGACAGCAAAAACTTGTTTAACTCAGTAGTACCAAGGAGCCTTTCTGTTAAACAGAAAGCGCTCAGCAGGACACTGCTGCATTAACAAGATTTTCTCTGGCTGCTCCAATTCCCTTTAGCTTTTTTTATTTTTATTTCAGTAATCATCTTTCAAACTGCAGCAGCATTTGTCGTGCTGATTCCAATGGTGTTCCATTGGACTTTAGTGGAAGCTTCTCCTGCAGTGTGCACAGGCTTCATTTCAGGTCAGTGATCACATCCTCCTCAGCCTCTCCTGGGGCTCTCACACTGATCACCCTCCAGCTGCAGGAACTGTCCGAGAGGAAGGGCACGACTGCTGTGTTGAAGTCACATTTCTAGTGGGGGTGGGCTGAGGGAAGCTTCTGCCCTTTGGATTCGGGGGAGACCTGACATTTGGATGTGATGTGGGTGTGCAAGCTGTCAGCCCTCCTGCTCCATCATGCACATCTGCCCCCCTCCAGGCAGCCAGTTGTGCTGGGGAGGGATGAGGACGAGAGGAGTGGGCAGAGCATGTGATGGATGGCTCAAGCTGGTGTTTGGGTTCTGAGCAGCAAAGTCTCTGCTGGCTGAGGCTGTGTCACCAACAAAAGGCTCCTTGACTCTTCTGAGTCATCAGCAGCATCCATGTGAAGGACTTGAGCTGACATGAGGGGTAGGAAGTTTGCCCTAGGAAAATCTGGAGAACAAAACATCCACATAAATAAAACATGCTTTAGGTTTTCCAGCGTTAACTGGAGAGCCAGATGGGAGCAAAAAAGGAAAAGCAGGAGGCCAGGGGATCTAAAAGCTTGTGAGAAAGGGCTATTTTACATCCTTTGCTATGTCTTCCTGGGAAAGCTGGAATAACACAATGGATCACTAGTGATCCTTATGCTAAAATGACTCCAGACCAAGGTGACTCCAGAACCAAGCTACCTTCTCAGCAAAAAAGAGCATTACTTTGGCTAGATACACTCTAATGTCCTGGAGAGCCCATCGCTTCAGTATCTGTGTGAGGGGAATCTTGCTGCTGAGTATCCTGGCCTGCATTAGGAATTGTGTGGCCAGAATCAACCTTGTGATTCTGTGAGTAGAATTCTCACAGCTGAGTTAGGATTTCATTCCCTTTTCTCCAGATAAATGCCCTTCTTTTTGTAAATATTCTGTGGACAAGGCTTCTTTGACACCTTTCAATTAAGTTCATTTTTGAAAGTGGCAGGGTAAAAGAGGAGGGAACATCTAGAGTGAGATTTAGCTGTTATTTTCTGGTATTAATATTTTTTTAAAGGGTGATGTGATATCCAATTGCTGTTTGAAGTATTCCCTCTAGAGAATAGAGGGAATACCTAGAGAATATTTTTTTGTTCACATAAAGAGCAAACCTTCTGTGCTCTTGGCTTCTGACTGGCTTGGAAATGCCCTCAGGAAGATGGAGATGGAAGTTCAGGTAGAAGGAAAAGAAAGAATTGGGATTCTTGAGCAGGGGCTGTTACCACTCCATGAGGAGGTAAGAGAAAATAATTATGTTTCCTGTGATCAGCCTCATTTCTGGGAAGAGGTAGAATTTAGGTTCCTAACTGGCAATCTCCGTGTTACTTCTGGATTTAAAGAGAAGCCAGGGTCCAGGCACGTGGGGAACTGAATCCACTGGGAAGTGTGAGTGCAGGATTCTCCAGCAGCAGGCTGCACTGGGGTTTTGATGTTCTGCATTTGGGATCACCGTAGCTATATGTGCAATTAGTAAGGATTTCAACATCTAATTCCTCCTGTGACCTGGCCTTCCCATGCCACATCAGGGAACTGTGGTTTGGCCTCAGGATGGTCAGCCTAGTGTGGCACCAAAGGCCATATCCCTGAGGTGGTAACCAAGAAATGTGTGAGGAGCAGATCCTTTACTCATCTTGAATCACGTTCACCTGCCTCTCAAAAGCCCTTTCCCCAGTCACAGGCTGAGCTCTGTACTTTTACTAAAGGCTGGTGCAGTGCCAGCTTTCCATGAGATTGTCTGGAACTGGAACTTGCAACCAGACATGTCACTAAGGCTGGAAAAACAAGGAAGAACTGCAAAAAACAAGGAAGCAACAGCACAAGTGCTGCAGTCAGTTTGCAACAGCCAGAGCAGGTGTGTGATAAACCAGTAGTAAATCCTGCTACCTCTCTGTGTTTTCCAGAGCAGTTCAAGCAGGAATGGTGTTCTCCACGGCTCTCCACGGCTTCCCTAACACACCAGTGAGCCACGAGACCCAGGCAGAAATTCCAGTGTGGGGAGAGTGTGAGTCATGAGATGGTGAGCGAAGGAAACAGCAGGATAAAAATAGCAGAACCCAGTGTGATGCAGAATTATTAATCTCCTGCCCTGTGTTATCCTCGCTGTATTACAGGCAGCGCTCTGCTGTCGTGTGGATGCTTTGCTGCTCAAAACAGCTCCCTCCGTGCTACTCAGAAAGATTATGGCTCAGGATGCCAGATTGCAGGGACTCCTAATCATCATGCCCTCAAGTTGGCTGAAAATTCTTAATCACGACATTCCTGCAGTAGAAAATATGTAATCAAAGTGCTGCATTCGTATTTTTCATGTTGACATGAAAATGTAAATTTCAGTTTTCATTAAATGTCAATCTCAGTTAATTTGATATCAGCTGAAAAAAATTTATTTATTCAATATTTAAATGAGCGAAGTCCCTTTAGTTTTCCAACTTTTTTTACTCTCCTTCTTCCTTCAAAAGGAGAAAAGAAAGGAGAAGAGTATAAAAATACCATGAAAAACCTACATAATACTCAAGTTTGATTCTAGCTAACATAAATCAGTAGGGGAAAAAAAGTAGGGAAAGCAGATACGGTAAAATAAAACTAAAAAAACCCAAACAAGTATTTTATTGTGAGATGTGAATCTCTCTTTTTCTACTCAAATCTGCCATCAGATTTGAAAGCCTTGTTCCAAGATCACTCACAACAAAATCAGGATCCCTTCTAGGAAGCATTTCCAGCTCAGCCACTATGGGGTTTCTAACCCAGTCCCTTTGACATCTCCTCTAATCACTGGGCAGTGATCTTCAGAGAGCTCTTGGGAGCTTAGGAAACCTCTTCCTACTTATTTTTCAATCCAGCCAGGAATCTGGGCACCATAAAGGCAGCAGGAGCTTTTCCTTTAACTTCAAAGGGTGCCAGCTCTGGCACTGAGGCTTCACTGCAGATTAACACGTGGGGAGCTCTTCTGACAGAAACTGCCTTTGGTATTTCAGTGTGGGGAGAACTGTTTATTTCATTTCACACAGATTCACTTCAAAACCTTTCCAAAGGATTTCACTTTGCTGCTTTTTTTTTTNTTTATTTTTTTTTTTTTTCATTTAAGTTGCCTTTGGGCTTAAATTCGCCTTCAAAAACTGTGTAAAACTTTACCAAAACTGGGGAACAGCCTTCTGAGACAGGCAGGGAGGTGGCTGTGTGGTCCCCACGCTGCAGGTCTCACAGGGAGAATGAGTTTTTGTAGGACTCGCTCTTCCCTTTGCCCTTTCAGAGCTGCTTTATGAAGGGGAGTGTTTGCACACATGCTGAAAGATGGCACTGTTCAATTGTGATGGATTTAAGGGAAGGGGGGTGTGTGTGTGTGTGTGTGTGTGTAAAATCATGTTCAGGTGTGCAGCTATGGTCACAGTACTCCTTGCTCCCTTTCAGACCCCATTGAAACCAACTTCTTTCATCCCACTGAGCTGAAAATTCCCTTTTTTTCTGCTTCTTTTTTTTCTGTTTTGTCTTACAGAAGCTGCCTGGGAAGCTACTTGGGAATAACTTGTATGGTTTTAAATATTCTACTTAAGCAATCTCCTGTTATTTTTTACTTTTAAATCTCCATCTATTTAACTTATTCCCATATACCAAGTCTTTTTTATTTTCCAATGCGTAAAGAAAGAAAGACTTATTTTGGAAGTTCTACAAAAATGGAAGTCATTGTAATCATGATTTGATGTCCTTGGAACACACTTTATTTACTATTTGTTTTTATTAGGACATTGTTTGAACGTAACTTTAAGCCCAATAAGGTTCCAGGACTAATCTCCTGGGAGAGGATATTTATGGTCCATATTTTCAGAGAGGGAGATTGGAAGTAGAAAAAGGCTTAAGTATTTAGGCCTTGCTTCAGCTCTGAAGGCAGGGGAAATCTGCAAATAGTCACTTGACCAGCTGAAGGAGAGGGTGGCATATGCAGATGCCCAGCTCCGAGGGGCACTTGCATTCCATGTGTGCCCATTCCAAGAAGAAACGTGGGCCTCACACTGTGTGCTTTACTTCAGGGGAACTGACCTATTTTTCTAGAGAGGAAAAATCTACCATACAAATCTAATTTGCAAGGATTGTGGGAGTGGAAACAGGGCTGGTTTTTTGGGTTTTTTGTTTTTGTTTTTTTTTTCCTCTAGGATATTTGGTTATGCAAACAAATTGATGAGGGAGAAACTTCCAGAAGGAAAACCACTGATGGTGTTCAGCGTCACTCAATTAATTGTAACACTCTTGAAAGGGAAGTGAAATAATGGTGAATCTTTCAGAGAATCAGAAAATCATAGAATGGCCTGGGTTAGAAAGATCCTTAAAGATCCTCTAGTTACAACCCCCTGCCATGGGAAAAGACACCTTCCACTTTGTTCTAAGCCATAATTTTGTGTCCAATGTGGAGCCTAATGGTTTTTCCTCCTTAATCACTGCAGCTTTTTGCATGACACTCTCCTGATTGCCTTCCTTCTGCAAACACTGACCATTAGGAAGACACTGCTGTAGAGTCTGAAACCAAACCAGCCTATTCCTTGTTCTCAAGTCATCTTGGGTTGGAAGCTGCTGAAAACCTTCCTTCTGGATAAATAACTGTGATGTCCCCATCATCCCCAGAATTGGATTCCTTCACAGGAATTGCTGAAACACTGCTCTGCTCCAAGGTTTCTCTCACAGAAGAATTGTGCAGCTTCACAACAGGAGTGAGAAAAGCTTAAATGCTTTGGGGCTCACTCCCAGGCACAAGACTTTATTTGAGCTTTTGTTTGGAAATAAATTAAGTTCTTGTCATAGATTGGGCATATTCTCCCGTGATTCTTACATATCAAACTTTCTCATCATTCTGGAAGAAGATTTAAGTGTTAGTTCTCTTTCTTTTATTGGCACTTGTCTTTATTTATTTTGTATTCTTGAGATGTGCTGCATCTCTGGAGTTTGTATTTCTACTTTTATCATAAAAATGCTGTACATACAAGTCTAGAATGCATCTGAAGATTAGTCTAATTTTTCATGTGACTTTGACTTGAACATTTTTCTGTTTATGTTTATATTGCTATTTCAAATATGTGCATTACCTGTATTCTTTATGCCTTTTCCCCATCTGTAACTCAATAAAATAATGTCCCCATTCTTCAGAACCATATCACGTGTGCATGACAGTGATAACAGTTTCTGAATAATAATGACTGATAATTTAAAATGTGTTACTCTCTATTTATATCTATTTCTATATCCATATCTGTATATACAGCTGTCTGTCACAGCCTGAAATTCTTTCGATGTGAGATTTGAGACAGTGAAAAAATTACCAGCAAGTGGTAAGCTCAGCTCAGGAATAATTCTTCATAAGTCTGTTTGGACTTGAAAGGTAGATTTTCCTGCTCCGTAAAGGTTTATGTTCTTTAGTTCAGTTCTTATCCGTGGCTAAATTTAGAACTGATATTACATAAATCAGTGGAGTGTCACCCATTTCAGCAGGAGTTTGTGAGGACAGTACTTCCCTGTGCAGCTCTTCGAACTGGATGCTGTAGGACCTGGCCCTGCCTTGTGAAGGTCCTTTAGGCAGATTTTCAGCTGGCATGAACCAGCCTCATTTCCTTGGCAGTAGTGGAGCTCTTTTGGTTTTTGCTCATTGAACACCTCAGAGTTTACCTGCATTTAAATGCAACTTGTTTCTATGAATCACAAAGTTTTTAAAGGAATTTGGTTGTTTTTGGTTTTTTTCTTTTTTTTTGTAACCCTCTCTACTAAGGAAAAGAGTGCCATGACCTGGGAGATCTGTGGGCTGATGCAAGCCTTAGGCCTTTAACTGGGGGGCTTCATCCTTGTCACATGGATCTTCCCATTCCTTCCAACTCCCTTGATTTTCTTTTGCTGGCTAGATCCAGTGAGGTGCTCAGTTCTGTGCTGACTGACATGAACAGATGCACAAATAGATGCAGGACTGAGGCTTTAATGAGATTTCTGAGTCTCTGGAAACAGGCTTTGATCTTAGAGTGAACTTATCAAAATTCTGAGCGCTCTGAGCATTCATGGACATTAAAGTCCCTCAGAGCAAGGGCATGAAGCCATTCAGTGCCTCTCCTGCTTTGGGGAGATTCAGCTTTTTTTGGCTTTTTCTTTGGAAAAGACATTCACTGCCAGGAGAAACTCGAGGCCATTGTACAATGCTGGCTTTTTATTGCTGTAACATTCCTTTGGGTCTCAAAGGTTTAGTGAAGTCAGTGGGAAATTTTCTATCACTTTCAGTGTGTTGGGAACATGTCCTTGCTGCAAGTAAGACTCCATCAAACACAGCTGTTTACAAAGCAAAGAGAAAAGGACATTTCCCGTCCTTGTCTGTTTAATACTGTATGCCAAGCCTCTGTTCAGGATTTTAAATCATACAAATTGCCAAATGCCCCATTTAATAGAACAAAGGCTGAACCAACTCAAGCTGTGGGCTATTTACCACAGGGAATGAGCAATAGGACCTCCAGGGAGAAGCTTGAGGATTGTGAATGGTGACAGTGGCGTGTCTGACTTACCTACACCTCCATCACTGAACTCTATTTTCTCATGTACCCCAAAATGACAGCTCCTAGTTCCTCTTACATCCTGGAGGCATTGTATACACATCTAGACACCTCCAATCAGAAACAAGATATGTTCCTGTAAACAAACAGCTGGGGCTGGCTTATAATTAAGGCTTCTATTAATAGGCCATCTCCTTTCATTTAGGTGAGCTACTGCTGCTGTTTTGCCAAAAGCATGTTCATTAGTTTCATTCCAGCTTCTTCTTGTCATTATTGGAGCATAGGAAGCAAGTTCATGCTTTAATAAGCTTGAGTTTCAGGCTAGGCTAACCAAATAATTTTGATTCTATTTATCAGCTTTTAATTTGTAATAAAAGATTAAACTTAGATTAAAATATCTTCAACCTGAAAAGGGGGTTTCGCATAGAAGTTGACTGTCCTTAACCAGCACCTAGCTCTGTGCTGGAACTTTGTGCCTGTAGTTACAGTAAAAAAGGTCCAAAGTAAACACAAGAAAAGCCTCCTAATGATAAGAAGAGCGATGGACTGAAATCCACCGAGGTGAAGGTGGTGCAAAGACCTGTCTAGGACAGGATTCTAAATCCCAGGATCCAGTGCCATCCATCCCCTTGTGAGCGTGTTTGCAGCACAGGAGCCTTGCAGAGCGCGTGCCTGCCTTCAGCCGGATTCAGCTGCCAACACTCTGCTGAGCTCATTCATTATTATTGCTGGCTTTTCAGGAGGCGAGATGAGCAAAATCAACATCAGTCTCCAGCAGATGGGACACGGGGAGGGCAGCTGCAGGCGCTCAGTGCACTACATACGGCAGGCGAGCGCACGTGGAATCCTCTGCCCCCGGAGCTCCGGCGTTCCCCTTCCATGGGCGGCAGGAAAATACAATTATCTGAATTAGTTCATTCAGGTGAAAAACGCCAATCACTTGGGTTTTTAAAATTTTTAAAGTGTAATAATAATAAAATGGTTATAAAAATAGTGATACAATTAGAGTAATAAAGTTTAGAGTTAGGACAATTACAGGACAATAAAAAGCAAAGAATTACGGACGTCCGGATGCTCTCGGACACTAAGTCATGAAAAGCATGACTTGTGAACAAAGGAATAACCTTAAAACAACAGACTTGTTGCATATTCATACATACTTCATGCTTATGCATACATTCTATTTTAAACAAGAAACTCTGTCTGTTGTATGTTAATTGTTTCCTTTAATCCTCTGGCAGATTCAAGTCTGAGCAAGGCCTGAAGAAATTAGCTTCTTCTGATAAGAAGCCATTAATTCCTCTCCTTTGGAAGATTTAGGTGTTCCTCAAAGCGAGTATCTCATCCCTAAAAAATAAAACTTCCCCCACATATATAGTCTCTATTTTAACATTATGTTGTAACCTAAAACTGCACTTAACACACTACTTAAGAGAATTAATACAGCATAACTTTCTAACATTACACATATAATATTCATTGTAACATTTGCGAAAAGCCAATCATAAATATGCATTTTTCACAATTCAGATAATGCTTCATGCTGCCCACTCGGGAATTCAGGCAGGAGCACTGAGCACAGAGGTGCCATTCCTCACGTGGCAGTGCTGGAAAAGCACATCCCTGCCTGCGTGAGATGAGCAGGGGCATTCCTGCCAACCTCCTGCCTTTTCTTTTTTGTTCTTGGTAGCTTGTTCTGTTTTGATTTTTTACTTTTCAGGCTGGCAAATGGGATTACAGCACAGGCACGCAGAAAATAAAATGCAGAGGAAACATGTATAAACAAGATTTATACACACATTTATAAACTATAAATATATATAAATATATTTATATATCTATATAATATATAGATATATATATAAAATATAAATATATATATACATTTTATACATTTATACAACTAGGGCAAAACAGCGCCTCAGCACATTTACTGGGAGATGTGAGGCTGGGGCAGGGTTGGGAGCAGTGCCTGGGTACAGGCAGAAAATATTAATGATGTGCTCTGAGAGAGCTGCTTTCGCCCTGTTGAGAGTGCAGACAAATTGAGGGTGGGAAAGAAGCACAAAGAGTTCAATTTGTTTGGGGTATTTTTATTATTCTTTCCCCCCAAAACATCATTTTGAAAACGTGTTGGATTTTGACAACTTTCATAGGATCTCAGCTGTCATTTTGCTGTCATTTTGTCATATGTGGACCCACACACCCTTGGCTCTGTGGATAGAACATGAGAGCTGTTGTGAGATGAATAATCTGATCATGACCATAAATGTTTTGTTGGTGATAGAGAGAGGATACTTTTGGTTGGATTCTTTGCTGTTGGTTTAAAATGCTCGAGGTTGTCTGCCCAGTCTGTCTCAAGAGCTGCGAACTCTTACCTTCGAGAGCTGTGCATGAGGAAGGGGCCACAGGAGAAATAAAACTCGTGTTAAAAAAAAAAAAAAAACACAACAAAAACAAACAACAACAACAAAAAAATCATAACCACATCACGATAAATCCTCCACCTTTATGCTTGCTGGCAGAATCTCTGCTCCCTCCCACACAGCCCCAGCTGGAGAGCCTTTACTTGCAGCAAAGCCACTCTGGTTGTGACAGTCCCTTTCCACTCACTGCTCCCTTTTCCTTCCCTCCTAGGGAGCAGCAGCTGCCACCACAGCCCCCCTTTTCTGCCTCCAGGGGCTCCCCCCTTACATAATTTGCAGAAGGCAAAGGAAGAAAATCGATGCTAGATAGAGTCAGGGTCATCTTCCTAGCAGCAGAGATTAGCAGGTCTGGTGCTGCAGGGAGCATCCTGCTTCAATTTGGGTGCAGTAAAGTCTTTCACCCAGGCCCTGAACCTGCCCCATGCACAAAGCCAGGGCAGAGGAGCTCTGTGCTCATGTACTTCTGGGTTTAAAAGTGGAACCTGGTGTTTGGAGCCAGGCTAAGTTAATGTGTTGCAGGGAATGTGGCTGGGTGGGAGCTTTTTTTGCATGTAACTGGCCAAAATCCATCTCTTTGGCAGTGCCAGGATCAGTGCTGCTGCTGAGGAGTCATCTCGGGAGAGTGTCCCCTTATCCCCTCTCTGCCAACCAGAGGAAGGAAGGAATAAACATCTTGAGCAACCTGGTCTGGTGGAAGGTGTCCTTGTCCATGGCAGGGCGTTGGAATGAGTTGGTCTTTAAGGTGCCTTCCAAGCATTCTGTCATTCTGTGACCCTGTTGAACCATGCTGAGTCCTGGCTGAGTCAAGGGCCAGCAGTTCTGTCCTCAAAGAGCAAAGCTCAAAGCAGCTTTTGGGAAGAAGACGGGGTAGAAGGCACAAATTAATTTTCCTCTGCTCACTCTGAGGTCTGCCCCGTTCCTGCCCATGGGTGAGATGGGTGCCAGTGTGGAAGCTGGGAATACCTGCGTGCTAATGAAGTGTGAGTGATGGCTTCCCTTCCTGTTCAGGAAGCACAGCAGAGTGCTGCTTTCTCTGCCTCCAGGATACCTGAGCAGGGATTCCAGCGCTCTGGGAAGAAGTGTCAGACAGGAATGAGTGGAGCAGCCTTTGGGGACTGGAGGGGCAGCAGCAGTTTGTGTGCTGGCCAAGGACTATTTTATAAATGGAGCACAGCTCTCATCCCTCAGCTGCATGCAGGTTA